ATGAAAACTGACCGTTGAGACTGTTGAGAGCCTAGACAATTGAATGGGTCATGGAAGTTAACAAGACTAATAAACTTAGATTAGAAACGCTGGAAACAACCACCATAGTAATATGATGTGAACATTGCCTTTCTATATCTTTTACACCATCCAACTTATAATCTTTTTTGGAAACCTTCCACACTATTAAAAAAGGTTTAGGAGAATAATTTAAATAGTATGGACTACAAGTAAATTATTATTGTTTTATGTTATTTATACAAAAATAGAATATTATCACTAGGTGATGTTTGCAGAGGCATCCACAATATTAAACAGAGCCATCAGTGTTTCATTTATTGACCTTCACTATCAAACTTCATTAAATACCAAATGAACCCAGAAAAGAAAATCACATTTAACTAGTGGTTTATAGGGACATAAGTACCTAAAAAGTACAAATGTAAAACAAATTATTGTAAAATCTAAACAAAACTCAGAATCAAATTATGTGTATCAGGATGGATATCCAAGTACAATCTATCTTTTGCATGTAAAAAACAGTTTTTTGATTGTTTTTGTTTGTTTTTGTTAATGTTATTTACAATAACTGATCTAAATGACTTCAGAGGCTCATTAACTCTATTAAGACAACAAACATGTTTGTGAATAAATATTGGTTTACTAAGGTAGCTTTGGGGTCTTTTAGTTAATGATAATTATAAGGCTTCTCTGATTGAAATATTAAAAACTGTCTTTGTAAAATATAAAAAGGCAAATAAAGATGTGTTAAGATAAGCTTAGTTCTTGGTCAAAACTACTAAATTAGCACATCAACCTAGTTATTATTTCTAAGTTTATACTCTTTTTGTAAAGGTTTAACAAAATTAGTGTAAAGTAAAGGCATCCCATTGACCAACTTAACCTATATTTGTTTCCAATCAATATTTAAAACAACTACTATTAGCCTAGTGTAAGTTTATGTGGTAGTATTCCTCCTAAGGGTGCATTTGACTTTACATATTCTATTAAAAAAATAGCCTAATCAATACCTGATTACAAACTATTTCATGTCTGGTTAGGGTTCCATTACCTAGTTATCAAAAACAATCACATTTATGGTTAGTTTTAAGAAATGTAAACTACCTCTAGGTTTTACTATTATATATGGTACATTTGAACTTGCGATATTACTTACTTAATGAACAAATACCTATACAAAACTATTTCATATTTATTTCTAGATTATTTTCTAAGAGTGGCCAATGAGGTTATTCTACTTCATACAAAATATTGAAACACTACAATAAATCTCAAATATAAATGTTAGTACTGTAAATTAAAAAAAGTGTAGAATATATCTTTAATATATATGTTTTGAAATCAAAATAAAGGAGAAGTTTTCTATTTAATCTTATTTGAATGATTTATTATTTGGTCAATGTGGTTATTTCATGTTAAACAGAATTTTCAACACAGCAATAACCTTCAAATAGAATAAAAAACTTTGATATTTTTTAGTATTTTAAATTCAAATTTTTTGATTTATGTCATCACCTATGATTCTACTATTTATCATACTTAAATATACATGAGTTTGCTAATTGCAAATTATAACCTTCAACCTTCTAATCTGTAACTAAAAAGTTTTAGATAACATTATTCCTGATTTTATACAAGTATATTGCAGAATTTACTGGCAAATAAGTAATCCAAATAAATGTAATATATTGCTTACTTGTTTGCAAATTCTAACCTTTAACCTTTTAATCTGTAACTAAAAAGTCTTAGATAACATTATTCCTGATTTTATACAAGTATATAGTATATTGCAGAATTTACTGGCAAATAAGTAATCCAAATAAATGTAATATATTGCTTACTTGTTTAATGATAAAATCACAATCAGCTGTATTAAAGTAAACTAAAATCAGCAGCAAATGCCTTCTAATGTTATTCTTATGGAGAATATTTTATGTTATATCTAATTTTGTATCCACATTTTGAGAATTTTGCTGTTTTTTTTCGCTGTTACAGGAGACCTTTATTTTGAGCCCTCTCCTGTTGTTTTACAACTTACCAGTCACCAACAATTTTGACACAAAAATCGGCATCAATATATTACATGCAAAACCAAAGTGAAAGAAAATAAGTACTAAAAAGTTTAAATAGAAACATTGACCAATCACACGACAGATCACCTATTCATGAACAGGTACAAACTTATTACAACAAATCAGCAAGCAAGATACACACTATTAACACTTCCTTGTTTTGTTACAGAACCATGATGATGATGAAGAAGAAGAAAATTTGTAATGTTTCTAAATATTTTTAGAAGCATGTAAATATAAATTGTAGATGTATATATAGTAACATTAAAACATATTGTAAACCAAACAATGTGTATAATTATCCAGGGTATATCACTCAGTAGAGGTTATTTCATTTAGCAAGAGTTGATTATTACAGAGGTTATATAAGTTGACGGGAACCTACGTATAGAATATGTAAGGTTATGCAACTTGGCATGAAAATAAATTTAGACAACATAGGACACCAGGAGGCATGGCTGCCTAGGGGGAGGGGTGATCTCTAATTATTAGCTGGGGCCGTGGCCTAGGGGAGGGGTACTCTCTGATTGGCTAGGAGGCGTGGCCTAGGGAGAGAGGTGAGGATAAAATGCTGCTCTCTGATTGGTGGCTTGAAGTACTGCTTTTCCTGTAACCCATGGGCTTTGCCCCATTTAACTTCTTAATTTTCAAGATGATCTCATTTGCATGGCTCAATCATGTCCTGATTGAAATTCTCATTCACCTTTAGGTTGGAGCTCGTTCGCTATACTCACTTACCTTCAGGTAAACTCATTCACTACACTAACTTGCTCCAGGTTGAAGTTTGTTTGCTACACTCATTCACCTTTTGGGTGCAAATTAGCTATTGTTATAAATGTAAAAGAAATAATAGTGCTGCCACCTATTGGTAATCTTTGTAACTTTAATGCTATTGAACATCATAGAATAGAACCAACTTGTTTAATTAAAACAGCTGTTAAGATTCATTTAACATGGGAAACTCCAGAACCATTGGGGCAGAGCCCACAGGTCGGAGGATAAAATCCTTTTTTAGTGAGTGTCTACTACTCAAAAGGAAGATGCCTGCCAAGTTTCAGGTTTCTATAGGTCTTATGGTTTCTGAGATTTCATGATGAGTGAGTGAAGGAATCAGTGGTATTTGAGCTTTATATATAGATTAATATATAAACTAGTGGCTTATAGAAACATAAGTCCTAGCACGACAAATTCAAACTGCACATGGATGTGTATACGCACCCGTAAGATTCAAGAGGTTAATGAGGTTAAATAAAAACTTCCCTGATAAATATTAAAAGGCAAATATAGGTGTTTTGAGATAAGCTTATTTCTTAATCAAAACCACTAGATTATTCCAGTTATCATTACTAAGTTTATACTCCTTTTGTTAAGATTTAACAAAATTAGTGTAAAGTAAAGGTATTCTATTGAACAAACTTAACCCTAGATTTGTTTCTGATCAATAAAAAAACTACTGTAAGTTTACATGGTGGTATTCCTCCTAAAGGTGTGATTGACTTTACATATTCTATTATAATATGCCTAATCATTGGCTGATCTCTACTTATTTTGCAACCGGTTAGGGTTTTATTACTCAGTCATAAAATCATAAAATGTCTTTTGCTCAACATCTTTGACATCCATATTTTTAGTTAGTTTTAAGAAACAGAAACTACCTCTAGGTTTTACTATTATACATGGATGCTCCCTTTACCACTGTACATGCTAGGCTATATTATCTGAACCTTTTTTGTTTAGAGCAAAAGAAAAGCTTCAAATCTCCTCCAAACAATATTGTTTTTTCACCCATTAGAGCTTGTTATAGTACTTACTTAATTGACAAATATATTTCTTATATGAACATATTCTATCTTTATTCCTAGGTTATTTGGTAAGACTAGTCATTGAGGTTATTTCACTTTATACAAATTATTGACTAAAGACTTTAATAAATCCCAAATTTAAAATGTTAGTAAATTTATAAAGAAAGTGTGAAATAAATCTTGAACATATGTTTTGAAATGAAAACAAATCAGAAGTTTTCTATTTAATCTTGAATCGTTAATTATTTTACATAAATTTGAAAAGTTTCACAGTAAAATATTTTTTTCAATATTCTATAACATAGCCTATACAACTAAAAAGTCTTAAGAAATACATGGGGAGCAAATTTTGTTTATGTATAAGCTGTATAAGCCAAGTGAGACTGTAGATATATATGCCGATGCTTAGTTTGAAATCTGTGTATACTGTAATTTAAGACCTCAATTATAAAAATCAATCAGGTAGAAGAGCTAAACAAACTCAGAAAAGAAAACATACATTTTTAAATCATATACTAATTAACAAACTAATTCATAGCTGATATAGGGGTTACTATAATATTACATAATGTTTCCCAAGTAAGCCTAGAACAAGCCTCCAAACATAACTTCAATTGTAAATTTAGTTAGATGGACTCATAGCAAACATGTTTATTTTATTATTCAAAATGGAACTGTCAATAAGTATCCTAATAAGATGTTTAAGTTATTAGTATATGATTCAGGCTAGTGTCATAATTTTATGCAAGTATCATTAGTCGGATCAACAATTAAATTGGTCAACTGATCAGCTGATTAGTTGGTGTTCAAAGTGGTTCAAAGCATTACAATTTTAATTCTTTTCTCTCAATACTTGAACCTCATTGGTCCGTTACCTGTGTGGATAGGAAAAAAACTATGCTGATGTGAAATGAAACTATGCTGATATGAAAGTAAACAGCTGTTAAGTGAAACTTTTTATTTACAACACCTTGTCTATAGCAAAGATAATAGAAAAATTATTATAGTTTTCTTGAAATAGCCCAAACACTGTATTCATGTGAAAGTTCATTTTTTTTAGGAAAAAATAAGTAAAAAGTAAATATGAAAAAGAAAATAGCTTAAACAAGAATAAGAATATTTATTTGTTTCTATTAAATGTACAATATATGAACAAAAATATTGTTAAAAAATGTTAGGTCTAGGACTTATCATGGTCATAATGTAGATCCACAGGTCTGTTCCTAGATATAATTCTTCTGGGTTACAAGTGGACAACTGGAGTCAAATAATCCAAGGGTTGAGTAGGTAGCAGTCGAGGAGAGATCAACAATCCGTAGAGCTTGGCAGGTTTCTCTTCATCCTGGTCCAGTACTATTTCCTGTACAACCCACAATGATTAGAGATGTACAAAAACAAGAAAATGGGTTTAAGTAGTTTTTTTTTTAAGTCTGAATCAATAGTAACAATGATCTTAGTCTTTGATAGTTTTTCAAATATCACTGTACTACCTAGGCCTAATCTCTGTGTATGAATCTCTTTATTTAATGAGAATATGTTTAGCTGAAAGTTAGGATTCAAATGTCCTATTAGCCTATAATCTTTGCTATTTAATCTATAGTGTCATTAGCAAAATAGTCTCTGAGTTCATAGTGGATTGAGTGAGCACAATACCAGATATACAGTTTAGGGTAGTGACTTAATTGACTACATATATAACATAATAAATCGATAAGCATAGAGCTGATTAAAATAATTGAATGTTTTTAGATCACTAACATATATTGTCCTAAACTGAGAAATTTTAGCCAGGTAAAATTTTAACCAAAGAATGAATAAATGTTTCAAACGAATTTTTTAGTTCTACTATCTATATACCTATACCTATTTTATAAACCCTTAGCATTGGAACAATATAACATAAAAATGTTCCCATATGATTCCGTAGGGTACTGCAATTATTTAAGGTCTTTTAGGCCTTAGATTTACTTAATGTTAACAAACTCAAGACTTGCATATCCATTTTGGAATATAACATGTTCTTCAACATTTTTGAGAAACATAATAAAATTTATAAAATATCTAGTTTTACATTATCTTTCTTAGTTCCAAAAATAACCATCATCAGCATATTACAAGGCCTATCAAACTAAAACTATTTATTTTTATGTCATACGTGTCGTGTGTAAATGTTGTTTGTCGTGTAATGTGTTGTGAGAATAAAATTATTCAAGCAGATCTACATATTCCTGTAATAAAGTATTTGACAATGGCAGTTTGCTAAAACATGTAACACACTGATAAATATAATATAAAACCAAATATTTCTCGGGCTTCAACAATGAATTTTAATTTAATTTAGCTGCATATAAATGTCAACTTTAATTTAAATGGTTTAAACAAATACTATAAATAATTAAAATAACCAAGATAAATCTAAACTCACCCTGATTAAACAAATCACAAGCTAGGTGGTCTATAGAGAAGCAAAGACAAGAAGAAGTTTTTAGTCATCGAAATGAGAAGATCAAACAGGTTGATGGTTCCCAAAGAAGTTCCTGTTGACTCCAAAATAATACAGTATTAATGCTTAAGAAATATAACTTTGGATGTATGTTAATCATTTATTTATATGGGGTTGAGACCATGATAACTAAATTATACAATTTCAGATTATATAATTAAAACTCTTAAAATCTAATTGGTAATTAATAAAGAAGTTAAAATTAACCAATTTTTATATAAGTGGTATAGATTATAAGAGTTTTAATCATTGAATAATTTAATTATCCCGCCTTAATAGAGATATATTTTTTTCATTTAAAATGTATTTACTTTTAAAATTTGATTTTTAAATGTGTGATAAATATATCACATAAAAATATATTAGAAAATATTTTTATAAATTATAATCTATAAAAATATATATTAATATAAAATACAAAAATATATCTCTACCTCTCAGCATTAGCTTGTTATAGAGAGTATATAACATGCAACATGCAATATATAACAAGCATTAATAACTATACAGCTGTAGAATATACACCTTCAATCTGTAAAAGAATCAATACAATTAATATATAACAGTTATAATTTCATTAGTTTATGAATTGATACTTCTTTAATACCTGCAACAAATTTAGACAATATAATTATTATGAAATAAAAAAAAAACATTTGTGTATATTTTATATTTATGATAGAATAAGACTCCTTTATAAGCCAATTTCTTGTATAGCCTAAATTGGCTATTAGAAGTAGACCATACTTCTTCATCACCTGTAACAAAATGAGAAATATAAATATTGTGAATTGGAAAAAATATACTTAAAGTAGGCTACAGAATCTTTATTAAGTATTTTACTCTATTCTGCTTCCATTTCTAGGATATACTCATTTTTTGAAAATGAAAAGATTTTTGTATTTGGATAGAGGATGGAAATAGCTTTATTTCCTTTTGAAAGAATCCTATTTTCACCTAACACTTCAACATTTAGTTTATCTAAATGATTGTAGAATCTTTTAGTAGTTGTAATAAACACATTGTTTCTAAACATTTGAGATAGATTGGTAATTTTTCTGGAAAATGTTTTTTTACATTTATAACAAGCTTTGATAACATATTTTCTATGTAAAGAAATAATTTTAAAATCAATTCTTTTTGAATACTCTACAATATTTTTTTTTTCAATAAGTATTATGTATCTTACTAAAAACCCAGAATTAACCTTAAAAACTTTAAAGATTTGTTCAGTTTTAAAAGGGATGGTCACTGCAATAGTGTTGGCTATATTAGATTGGAACATTAACCCTAAGAATAGCTGCTTTCCTTTAATTGAACATAAATATTCTGGAGATTCAATTTGTTCAAATTGTAAATATGCAGTTGTGAAATTACTGAAATTTGGTCTGGGTATAATGTTGTTGTATTTTAGATAACACCACCAAAAATACGAATCTTTGATCAATTTTACTTTCCTAAATGGAAGCATTTGAAATATAATATAGAAAATTTCGATTGGTAATTTTTTAAATAAGGTGATATCCATTATAGATTCTTAAGATTTGTGAATACAAGTGAAAAATTTGAATTTCAGTGTAATTCTCCTGAGATCTTTTAGTTTAATATCTGAATTCCTTAGAAGTCGAAGAACTGATTTAAATTTACAATATAATTGTGGTAGAAGATTATCTTTTGTATTTAAGATATTAAAAACTCTAGCTATATTTGGATTAGATCTTGTTTTAATTTTTACAAGAACGATCAAATATTTACTTTTATTTTTAATATTTTTAACAAGTTCTTTAATAATTCTATGAATTAACTTGGTCTTAGTCTTGAAAGATCTAATGTATCTTTTTTTTAATTTTATCTTTTTCTTTTTTAATAATAAAGGTTTGAACATGAGTAAGATCAAAATGAAAAGGGTACTTACCAATGTACTAGTCTGAACACTGCTATGTTGTGGTTAGGATAGGATAGGAGTGTGGTTTATACATACCCATCCCACTAATTTGGATAGAGGCATGGTAGGAGAATATGGGCGTGGTTTATACTTGACTAATTTGACAAAGTATAGAGGGATAGAACAAAAGATGAAATATATATTTTTAGTTTTGAATTATAAACAAATTAGTATTATGATTAATAGTATTAAGTGTTTAAAATATATTTGCCATTTTTTATGTTTTTAGCAAAATTTAAAAATATTTTAAATCCAATTTTCATTAATATCTTAAATTTAAAAGAAGTGTAACTATTATCAGGCCTCTAGGAGAATTAGAAAAAATAAACTAATAGATTTATAAATCATAAATTATTAACAATGCTAAAGATTAAGATGTTAAAGTTTATATTTATAAAAACCTTATCTATGAATTCAAAATGGTATAAGAATTAAATTTTTGTATGTTTAGTTTTAAAGTCATTAAAAAAATTTAAATTGTAATAAACTGCTCTATCTCATGGTAATCTATTCATTGAAAATTATTAAAGAACTTATTGACTTTGAATTTAAGTTAAACATTTATGAACTATTTGAGATTTCCTGGACTTTTAGTAAGGATCAATGGGATAAAGGATTGGATGATTTATATCATAAAACCCACTCCAAAATCCTTTCCTTGTTTGTGCTAAAATATTGGTTAGAAAAAGAAGTTTCCTTAAGTTTTCCTGTAAATTTTTTTCTTTCTTCATTTTATGGTATGTTATTGTCATAATATCTATCATATTTTCATCCATTGAATCTCAAATTATCTAAAACAAAAGAAAATAAATTCTATAAATAATTACAAAAAATTTGGATTGTAACAATCTATATTTTTACTTTGTTTAGATTTATATATTTATTTGTTTACTTTAAAACTCTTGAGTGTGTTTTCCTCCATACTTGTAGTTTTTGTTAATATAAATATATATAGTGGATTTGGTAGTATCTAGCTCTACACTTCATACACCTTATCCTGGGAAGTCCCTAAGCTATTTTTACTCCTAAATTTCTCCTCATTGTAGAATAAAACTCAACATGTACCTACTCCTGTTTTAAAGGACCTTGTTTGTTTGTTTGACCTTTATGGACTCCAAAACTGCTTGAAAGATTGTAATGAAACTTTCAGGCATTATTAAGTATTATTTAAGGATGTTTTTTGAGAAGTTTGGTGCAGATCTATCAAAAGGGCTCTGCCTTAGTAGCTTTGGAGTTTCCCATGTTAATCTTATGATTTTTATATTTTAAAAGAATTAATAAATCTCAGTAGCTATTTCAATTAAACAAATTAGTTCTTTTTATGATGTTTAATAGCATTAAAAAGTTAATAGGTTTACCAACAGGGTGCAACACTATTATTTTTTTATATTTATGACAATAGCTAATTTCTAACAAAATGTGAGTGAATGTACTGAATGAATTTTAACCTGGAAGCAAGTTAGCATAGCAAACAAGCTAATCTAAAGGCAAGTGAGTACAGCAAATGAGCTTAAACCTTAAGGTGAGTAAGCATAGCAAATGAATTTAAACCAAGATGGGATTGAGCCATGCAAATGTGCTCATCTTGAATATAAATAAGCATTGACATAAAACCACATTAGGACAGGACAACAATTAGCAAGTATTACAGGTGTTACTTTAAAACAAATAACAATCATAATTTTTGATGACTTTAAAAGATTCGACTCAAAGATTATGGAAATACTTAAGATGTGATGGATTGATATAATCAACATTTCTTGTAAAAATCTTATAATTTTTCAAAAGCTAATCTTGTTTTTTAGTGTTTTCTACAAATAGCCTTACTCATAGTTGCATTAGGTTGTCCACAGTAATGATTTAAAAAAAAATATTATTTTCTATTTCTTTAAATATGAAACTTTAAAGGGTCACACTCTTTAATTATTTCCCTGAAAAGATAGTTTCTACAACATTATAGATTTAAAAAGACTAGAGGAATTACTGTTTTTTTAGAACTGGGGCTGTGAGAGAGGTCCAGAGGTGGAGCCTGGCACTGACCTGTAGTACTGAGATTTGGGTTCTAGATAGGATGAGGGGAACTTGGGACAATATAGATCTGACAAATGAGGGTAGTAGTCTAACTGTGGGTTGTATTCAGCCCTTGAATGGGTGACAGCTGAGTAATGGGCAGGGGAGAGATTTTGGGCACTTAGAGATGTGAGTTCAACATAGAGTTGTTTCTGTATGGCTTTCTGCATAAGGTAGAGATTTAAAATATGAGAGTGGTAGTCTAACTGTGGGTTGTATTCAGCCCTTGAATGGGTAGTAGCTGAGTAATGGGCAGGGGAGAGATTTTGGGCACTTAGAGATGTGGGTACGACATGGAGTTGTTTCTGCATGGCTTTTTGCTTGATGTAGTTGGAGAACTCCATGGGTGACATCCTGCAATGAGATATGAGATTAGTATTGGTAAGTGATATTGGTGTGGGAAATTGGAGTAGACAATAGAATATGAAGAGGTTTTGGACAAATACATTGCATCAAGATAGATTGGTTGATGATTTGGAAAACACTGAAGAGGAGAAAGTTAGAAGGGTTTCTATTTTCAAGAACTGCATTAGCAAAAAATAGTCATTGAATAGTAAATGGAATATTGTGTATTGTAGAGAAATGGATATAGTTTGGCCGCTTAAAAAACAACCTGCATGCTAATGCTAAACTAATGCTGGAGGAGGTCACTTTCTAAGCGGCTGAACTATAGTTTGAAAATATACTAGAAAACTTACATGAAACATTATAGAAATATTATCTAGATGGGATGAATTTGCTGAGATAACATGGACATAAACATACTTCTGAAGAAATCTGTTTTAAGGAAGTTATATTTATTTTTATTATAGAGTAGATAAAATTATAAGTTTTTGTGGAGCTGCATCCATTGAGGAAAAAGAAGAGTTCTAAATATGATTTATCAGTGACAAATAAGAGCTTATAGTTGATTTTATTAGAGACAAGTAACTTTTGATTCTAGATTGAGAGGTTGTCTAGTCAAAGTTTATTGGCTGCATATAAAGTTACAGTATAATAAAACCTTTATTCTATCAATCCTAAATTGATTTAGAAACTCTTGTTTAGTTACTTTTGACATAGAATGATGAATTTCAAATTATAAAATAGATGTTCTAGGTTATGTCTTTTTAATATTTTATCTGTGAATATAGACAATATCAACTTGTGGTTTGACCTTTGAGTTGTATCAATAGTTAAAGATGGAATTG